AATAGTAAACTACTGCACTATGAGATTATCATCTATCATAAATTACTGACCTATGCTCTATCTGTGCTTGCGCATGATAATTCTGTTGTAGTTGTTGGATATGATTTTTTAAATATGCTATTTATAAATAGGATATGGAAAAATATTTCTGCTAAACCATTTTGCGGCATCTCTAACATTTGCTAGGTATCATTTTAGACCAATTAATTATCCAAAGATTTGTATTCTTATGCATGTGTGTGTATTTACATTCATAACAGTTTTCTATTTAGCCAAGCAGGTTTTGAAATTTTGTCAGTAAAAACGTTAACCTACATAACTTGATATTTTAGCACCATTGTGAATTAAATCATGAAAAAAAGTTTTTTTTTCCACCACCTGGGATTCATTTCCTTTTGTTCATCTTAAAAATCCAAAGTTTGAAGCAAATATAATTAAATATCTAAAAGCAAACAATGGGACTTTCTATTATATTTTGCCATATTAATTCAAATTCTTTTTATTGCAACATTCAGTGGTTCATTAAGGTTTTCAAACCCGAGCATGAAGAGCCAGTCAAATGCAGATGGTGTTTCCAATTCCAAGGTCTTAGATAGCCAAGAGTTTAAAAACTTATAGTGGAACTCATAGTGAGAACGGTATTTCAAAATGGTTTACAAGAGGCTGCATTGGCTAAGTACAGTTTCAAATCGCTTTGCTTTTGGTTAGATAAGCATCATTATATATGGGAATCAGAAAATTATTAGATGACATATTTCTTTTATTAATAAAAAATGAGATTGGAGGAGCTTATTCTTTGACTAGTGTAAGGAAATTGGTACCTTAAAAATACTGACTTCCTTGTGGAAATCACTGCATTAGAGTCATCCTCTTTCACAGTAGAATTCTGAAGGCATAGGAAAATCATTGAGACTCTTGGATTTCAAAGTGTACTAGTATGAGCAAATATAAAGATACATTTTACTTTAGTTATAGAATTTGCTAATGTCATAATTATTATCTTAATTTATAACATGCATCCTGAAGTAAATTTTAACATTGAGTTGCTTTTTGAAAAACTCATGCCTAACTCTATTAAAAACAATTCATTTGTATTGTGTCCAGAATATTGCTACATTTTACATATTGTATCTAGATAGGAATAGCCAATCCAATATATTTCATATATACAAAGTTGTAGATACTCCACATTCACTTTTTAGGAGGTAAATTTTTATTAAACTTGATATATTTTTAACAAGAGAATATAAAGCCCTGGTCAGCCAGAAGATACCATAGTCCCCATGACTGCTTAGCAGGAGAGAGAGAGAGAGAGAGAGAGAGAGAGAGAGAGACAGACAGACAGAGACAGACATGCTTAATCCTTAAAGTGCCAGCTTTTGGAAATCTTATCTATTTTATGTCATTTAATTATTTCTTTATTGCTGGTTTGATGAAAATCAAGCCGAATAACATTTCTTCCAGGGACATGTCCCTGGAAGAAATGTTTATATATATATATATATATATATATATATATATATATATATATATATATATATATATATGTGTGTGTGTGTGTGTGTGTGTGTGTGTGTGTGTGTGTGTGTAAATATAAAATGTTCTGGACTTGGATTATATCATTCTTCTATTCACAGAAATGTGCTGGCTTTTTAAGGTTATTTAGGAGGGAAACAGAAGGCATTCACGTAAGCTTGAAGGTCATTTCATATCTGGCTCATATAGGGATGCATTCTCTGGAACACGATGCTTTACAGCAGAACCGGAAAGAGAAAGGGGGGCTGCAGACGGCTCCCTAGCCTCCTGGGAGCAAGACTGCTGTTCGTCAGTGTTTGCACCTGCATGAGCAGTGAAGGCTGCCTCGAACAATGCCCATCCACTCAATTCTATTCTTTACCTCCCGCCCCCTTCTCTTCCTGGGGAATCTGGCTTTCCTGTCACTCAGGATAACGATTTCCTGCAAGCATCACTGAGACCCAGAAAGTCACTGTAATCTCATCAGGAGTGTGATTCCCCAGCTGGGACTCTTGAATTTATATAAGCCCAAGGTAGCTAGCTGTTCGGGGTGCATAATCCCCCGCGTTGATCCCCAGAGCTCCCACATCATTTAAAATGGAAGTCCTCTGATAAAGATGACCTCATCACCTGACAAAATTAGAGAAGATATATCCCCAAATCAGTACAATCAGAAAGCTGTAATTTAACCCAAGATGTTGCCTGATGTCAACCTTATGTATGACAGTGTTGTTTCCCCCATCCTGAAAAGAACTTAGTCCAGGCCTAACATAAATTTCCAAGGAGCCCAGTAAAACTTGGGCAGGAGATTGGCTGTGCATCCTGTGTTTTGTGGCCTATGGCACACTAAGAAGCTTTGTTATTTTTTATTAGTAAAACTGCTAGAGATCTATCACTTCCAAGTTTCTCGTGAATGCCTTGAAAATTTGTTCTAAATGGTGCCCACCTCATCATTTTCTAGGCTTTATGAACTCAATCAAGGATATTAATATAAAAGAGAAAAAATATTTAAGAGAAGATGTTTCCTTGCTTATCTTCCTCCTTTCCTGGGAGCAGTGGGTTGTCCATATCCTTATGTAGAAATGGATCATAATATGCCCCCATCACAGAGCTGTTTGTGACAGATCATGTTAGTATAGAAAACCAGCTCTCTGCTTCTCTCATTGCATTATCTAATTTTTGTGCTAACAAGCATTGAGGAGTGCTTATCTTTTTTCTCACAACATTGACCTTTGAGCCCAGGTGGCATTTTATAAAGCTGTCTTTTTAAAAACATTATAAATAACAGTGAGTAGTAGAAAGGGTCACAGGCAGAGCAAAGAGCTGGAAAAGAAATTTTAAAATATCTAAGACATGAGGAGTTCACCTAATTAAAAAATGTATTCCATGTATTTTTTGTTTATCTTCATAAACATATGTTTATCAAGATACAAAATTATATAAGAATATATTTACAATCTTGCTTCCAGTTGGCATCCAAGAGTAAGTTGGCATCTCTATGACATATACTATACATGTAAATGTGAATATAAATGAATATAAGTGCACGTTTTATTTTTCATATGTGAATCTGTAATTGCATGGATATGCTTGGATCTAACTTGTTAAAAATGACTACATTTATATAAGTGTGCATACATAAATAAAATTTATTCTTAGTTGGCATCAGGCAGCAAGTTAGCATCTGTTACAAACTAAGTTTGCATTTACTGTGTGTGTGTGTGTATATGAAGCATAAATATTAGAATTAATATATTGCTTCTTATTCATAGTTCCTTTAATAATGATTAAGTGCATGTAGGAGCATTTATCATTATTACATTTATCATTCAAAAGTTAAGCTTAGAAAGCAGTAAACAGGTTTTTTTCTCAAAAAACTAAGCAACAAATAGGTCTCCAGGTATGCACAGCGACGTGAAGAGAAGGAAACAGATGAAACCATAAGGAGTGGAGAGTAAAATATTAGTAAGATAAGTAGCATTTTTGTGGGAGCAACAACCTTTTAATTTGTGCTTTCAGAAAATACTCTACAAGTTAAATATTTTTGTTTATATGTATATATCTATATACAAATGGGATTAGATACCATTAGTTGGTTCTTATCACATTCATGTTGAACTTTATTGTGTTGGCTATGAGGACAGTTTATAAAAAAAAAACAAAACATGTTAAGTACAGGTAGTGACAACAGTTTTGCTTTCTAAAATGGCTATTTTTATATATATTAAATTTCAATTGACTTCTTGATCAATTAATACACTTTTATTTTAGATGGCATTACTATAGTAGGACTGAATCAATCAAATAAGGCATGTGTGAGAAAGTAAATTAAAGCTAACAAGTTATCAAAAAGTATTTGTGGACTTTTTATGTATTTTCTGAAAGGACTTTTTATGTATTTTCTGAAATATGGAATTCAAGTATTGCTAATACTGTATGTTAACTCTATAAGGTGTGTGTACATGTTCTATACTAACTCAATATTTTTGTTACAATCAACATACAATTAATTTACTTATTTATCCTCAGCAGCCATTGTATAGTCTACACAGGCTGGTTGGACTAGTTTGACAAGGAATAAAATTAACTCTCATGTGCCCATATGAGAAAATTAAGCCTTAACTTGTTTCTTATGTACCTTCAACATGTACCTATGAAATTCTGTTTTATTAAAAAGAGTGTGGCACTATGTATTGTTATAATGTTAACATATAGAGGGAAATTCAATAGCTTAACTACTATTGAATAAAAAAAACACATTGTAAAAATTAGCTTTTTGTTGAAACAGTTGTTCAAACTTTTGGTGTTAGCTTATTCCTTTGGAATACGGTAGCATTTTTATGGTACAAAAGGGTAGTTATGGTCCATTGAGAATCATTGGTTAGTATAAGTTCGTTTCATATAGATGATATTAATTTATGGAATATGCAGACTTACTTGAAAATAGTGATATATTTTATTAGTCTAGTTCTGATTAGATTATCTATAGGAATATTTTGCATTTATAGTTGTTAAGTGATAGAAGTAATATTTATTGTATTCTTATCATAAAAGAAATTCTCCAGAATAAAAAAAGTATTACTTCACTGAGTTCTAAATATTGGTCTTACAGAGGATGCATGTGTATGTAGCAGGTAGAGATTTTAAAGACACTTGCTAGCTGGTCCTCCTATTATTGATTAATGGCATGAGCCATCCCATTTATTCTAATGGCTATCCCTGTTCTACACCGTGTTTCCTTTATTTTTAGACCAATGAGTTTTAATCATTACATTTAATAAGCTAGCATTAGATTCAATATTCTAATGTTTCTAGTGTTCTAAGCTTGATCATTTATTTTATTTTATTAAATGTTGATGCATACAAGTCATCATGCTGTACCTTATTGACTAAAACTGTTGCTGAAGACTAAAGGAGAAAATTCTAATTTTATATTGGTATAGAAAGTAAGCTTAACGTGTTTTCTTGCTCTTTTTTTTTTATAGAGAACACCTGTTCCCAGCGCTGAAGCATTCCGATGGTTCTTTTAAAGCAGTAGTATATCTTATTTTCAAGGCATTTGGAAGTGAAGGGCAAACTAATGTCTTGTTTTAAGAAACTGCTTAGTCCACCACTGAAGAAAATATCAGATATTATTTTCATTTTATGTATAGGGGTTTCTTCAAAAAAAAAAAAAAAAAGAGGAAAAGAAAAGTAAAAAAAGACATCTCAAAATAACCTGGGAGCTCTGGGAACTGGCCAGTCCATTTACTTTGTTTACTCTGATTCTTTGATGTAATTTAGCTATCCTAGTGAAGTCGTCGTCTATTTTGAAAGTGGCTGTAAAAAATAAGTTTGGGTAAACCCCTGCTGTAAAATCATGTATCTTTGCAAAGTACATATCTATACTTCATTTTCAAATATATGTGTTTCAGTACTGTAAACTGTACAGATAGCAGCTTGTATTTTGTGTGTTTAGACACAAGGAGACAATCACGTCTGAGCATCTATGGAGATTAACAGTTTGTACACAACAGTATGGTTCTGTAAGTTAAATCTGGAGCAATAAATTTTAGCTTTAAATATTTTTTGCCAGTTGTTTCTAGAAGCAGCAGGAGCAGTGGCATGCTTTGCCATGCATCTTTCAGTGGAGACTTGATGCCAGGTTTCACAAGAAGAAAAGATGATGATGCGTCCAGCAATTACCTGCAGTTGTATTGCGATAGGAGGGAAGATGTGATGAAAGTTTCAATTAATCTTTTGAGCACTATATTAGAGTAGTGGTTATGCACTTGCATTGCTTACAAACGAGCTGTACAGAAGGGTATACCTCCCAAATACTTAGTGTAGTTGACTTGTCTTGGGTTGCACTGTATGGCGGAGTACCCTGAGTAGTTGGAATATGCAGAATCAGTTGTATAAATTTTTTAAAACAGTGTTTTCTAGGACACAGAAGCATCGGATCGTAGGGGGAGAAATCCATGGCTGAATTGTTGTTTTTTACTAGCCCAGCATGGGCTATATTTTTCGTTTGTTTATTTTTTGCCTTATTATTATTATTATTATTATTGGTAGGAAAAATAAACACAATAATAAAATGTATTCAAATGTTTTAATTCCATGTATGATATTAAATCGGTAGTTTTATTTTACATTGGAACATATCAAAGCTTCTGCCTTGAGACATGGCTAGGTATATTTTTAAGTAAAAAGAATTAAACACTTTCATAAACCTGAGGGTTTTTTTAATCCTTTGTTATCTTCCTTTCTCATAGCCTCCCATTTGGACCAGTGGCCTTCCCCTAGGCCCTCAGTGGAATGTTCCATTGCTCCCATTCCCATTCTTGTCATCAAGGATGCTGTGGTTCCAGAGAATTCCATAAATGTAAACAACCCCTAAACACAAAGGAGTATGCTTCATAGGACCTGGGCCTTTTCACCTAGAATTTGGTTTGCTTATGGCAATTGGGGCTCCCAAGGCTGTCCCAGTAGCACAATTATTATTTGTGATGACATGTTACCTAAGATTCTTCCTCCCCCCCCCCTTTTTTTTTGGTCAGATACTGTTCAACTTCAGCAATAAAATAGAGTTTAGCAAAAACACATAGAGAATCAAAGTTGCCATGTTACTGTCATTTTTTTAAAACAAAAAATGACACTTTTTATCCACTTATTTCAGCCTACACATCCATTAGCCTTTTGAAAAATGTTAGCAAAATGTATCATATGAAGAAAAATAACTTGGGAAGAGAAAGGGTGATGAAAAAGACTGCAAAACTTTAGAAAGCCTAGCAGATGAATAAATTTAAAAGGCTAGTTCTAGCTTTGAATTGCAAGTAATAGAACAGAGGAGATTTTTTTAAAAAAATGGAAGGAGCATTTGCCGTAAGAATTCTGGAGGGAGGGATGGATAAGGCACTAACAAATGCTAATGTTAAAGTGTGCTTTAACTTCCTGGAATATGAATGCAAGGTCTATAGTTATGGTCCAATAGTCTTTTTGAGGAAAATTCATTATCTGTTATACCTATCCACGTTTAGAGAAGAGAATTAAATAATCACAAACTAAAACATGCTGTATATTAGTTTTGAGATCACTTTCTACTTGCTATGTATTCCTTTGAGGATTTCTAGATAGAATTTCTATTCCAGCTGTGGGAGAAGAGAGCTATATGAATTATTTCTAGTTCCTTTTTTATTTTACTTATTTTTAAATCAATTTTGCTAATTTTTACAAGTAACTGAAAACTAACTCTCACACTTGAATGAGAAGCTTGCCTTGCTTTTTGGAAAACGATGGTTGTTATTACAGCAGTGAAGCAAACTTCTTTCTCTTCAGACTGCATTGGGCACACAATAGCATACAAAGATCTCATAGCAATGTACCAAGAGTCTAAAATACATGCTAGTGTTGCATGTCTTGATGTGTTTTTGTTTGTTCGTTTTCTTAAAGAACTTACAAATCTGTATATTGTAAAATGTGGTGTTTTACATGTCAATTCAATATTTTAATGAAAGAAAATCTGTTGATTATTAAAATGGAAATGTATAGCTTTTCTTTAATTCTCTTATATGTTCTTATTCTTGACATTGTTCTTTTACACTGCCCATTTCTTTAGTTGTGCTAAAACTCTATTTATATAATGTAGGGTGCATATAAAGTTCTCGTTGATGATGTTGAAAAAGGATATTACTCATCTGGCCTCAATCTAGTTCCTTTCTCTAAGTCTATGTACCAAGAGCTGTAAAGCATATCATTATAATACTAAGGGAATGATTTCAAGGTTTACATTTTCATGATTTTAAAATACCAATGAAAGGTAACTTTTAAAATTCCTCACTGTATGTTTTATATTCAGCACCAAGAAAATTTAGAACATAAAAATGGAATATAGATCGGGTGGACTATCAATACACCTTAAAAATTTCCTACCAGAGAAGTCAAATAAAATAGTTTGTGAGAGGTCTACATACACAGAAGTCTTGTTTTGTCTTGGGTAGATGAGGAAATGCTATATTCTGTCAGCATTTTGGGGGGAGCATGGAAAATCTTTGGGTGTCAATTTCCTTGTCAGCTGTCACTTAGCACCCTAACATCACAAGAACATCATCATGTAAACCTTTTTCCAGGCCTTCAGACTTCAGTGGCTTTGTGATGAATTCTGTCTGTGTACAAGGGGAGGCATATGTACAAAGTAGAAATGTATCCATGCTTGGGAGGAAAAAAAATGTCTTCCTCCATGGTAAGAGTATATAAAGACATCTCCTGGTTGCTTAATTCCAAATACACAACTTCCTTCTTCTAAACACATTTAAAGGGAGCAAGATATGGTGGGCTTACTATGAATGAATATAAACTAATCACTCAAAGAAAAGGATATTCCTTTCCTTTTATTCAGAACCCCTGACATGTAAATCGTACAATTAATCCTAAAGCATAGAAAGTGTGTAAGCTGATAGTATCTGTAATCAAATAATGAAAAAAAGAAAGCCATTAAAGGAACACACCATCTAGGGTCAAATAATGTTCAACAAAAACTGTAGTGGGTCTTTGATCACAGGGATATCAAACAGTTGATTCTCATGTAACAGCTAAATGTTTCAGATTTTGTTTTTATTAAATTTGGCAGTTTCACACTGAGATCTGTATTCCTGGTGAATAGAAGTCAGCTACTATGTTAGGAGGGGTTCAATTTTCACAACTGCAAGGAAGTTAGAAATTTCAGGAACAGACCACAAAATGTACTCGTTTCACAGTGCTCTCCTATTCTGAACTGTGCAGTTATCTATTCAATTTTCTACAGATATTTGTGTAAGGTGTATGTATGCTTGTGCAATTAAAAAAAAAGCAGTTTTGGAAAACAGTGTATTTATTAAAGAAAATTACTTATAGGGCATGTACAAAACTGTAAAATAAAAAACAAAAAAAAAAACCTTTAAAAAACACATTCAATTTGCCCAGTAAAGTTGTTTTTGTGAAATTTATGTGTTGTTGAATAAAGGACTTTAGTATTCAAAGTATCTCTATTTTTCCATGAACAAATTTTTATTTGTGGGATTTTTAAATAATGAGCATATGATCCTGAAAACCTAATTTTGCTTATGATAAAAAGTTTATAATTCTACATTTGCCCTTATGTTAGCAAAATGAATGCTGTATATAAATCTTTCATAAAACATGCTAGTTTGTTCATTCTGTTTTTCCTCCTCTATGCTGCCTTCCTCATAACACCTAAAGAAGGGAGGGAAAAAACATGATTGTTTTCACATGTCCAAAGGATATATTTTTATTGAAAGCTTTAATAGGCCATTAGAGGAAGAAATAAATATATCCAAACTTTTTTCCCTTCCTCTCCATCATGTGCCGGGAGAAAGCAGCCAGCGAATTTCTTGTGAATGAAAAGTCCTGGTCACAGTACCTGGAGGCAGAAATGAGCAATGCCAGAATTCTTTAGCCACTCCCAGCAGTTCTCTGAGATTGCATTACTATCGTTAGCTTTTTTATTATGGAATATTGTGTCCACTAACGCTGCTTCTTATTTGGTGGTGAATGTTCTTAACACTTATTTCACTGCTTCTCTGAACAAAGATCCTTTCTTTTCAGTATCTCTAACCAGAAGAAATGTAGGATTCCATTTTATATCTTGGAAATATTTAATATTATTGCAAACATAGAACTTCAGACAATTGAAAGAGTTTATGTCCACAGAAAATACCACATTAGAAGATTTTTGTAAAATTAAGAATTTCAAGATGTGTCGTATTAGTATAATTATCACAAGTATAAAATATCTTGGCCATGGCCATAGAGTTGGATAACATAGGTTACATGAGGTGATAAAGAAGAATTACTATAGGTAACGAATTATGAAAGACCCTGGATTCTCAACTATTTTTCAGGTGAGTCACTATGCTTTTTATTATATATTGGTGTAAACAACAATATTGCAAAAAATATAAAACTGGATTTTCATACATAATACTTTCTTACCTGAAAATTTAAAGGATATAAATACTTGGAGGCTCATATGTAATTCTTTAGAATACATTGAATTAGCAAAAAAAGGAAAAGGGCAGTTTTATAACTTATGTAGACATTGAGCCAGATAATAATTTTGTATGGTTTTCTTCAGCATCATATATTTTGTCAAGGTGTTTATTGGTTGAAGTCGGTTTTGTTTGCATGTTTTATGCAAAAGCTATTCTCCATCTCATTTCCAGTCTTCTGTTTGTCTTTTTTTTAATGGAGAGAAAATGTGATTTTAGGTAAACATAATGTACACAAATTTAAGATTTTAACTGCATACACTATAAAAGCATAGCAATATGGAAATCTTTTGCTTATTTGGAAATTTAATTACTAATCTTTTATTCTAATATCTTGGCTTAAGATCCATCATTGTGTCCTTTGCAACTCAGATTTCTTGGCCAATATTTAAATCAATATTTCTTATTTTCAAAGAATTTATATAAAATGAAATACCAACCAAATTATTTTTTTAAGTCTAAGTCTATGCTTTGTTTATAACATGTTACTTATGACAAAAACCATTTCTGGTTAACAGGTGGTGTCATTTCACAAATTGGAAGTACAGATCTCTTTTTAAAAATAGTACTTTTAAAAGCTGCTTTTATCATATATAAACTATATGCAAAGCATTTTTAACATAAGACTAGATTACATAACTTCTTTAATAGATGCTAGAATACTGCTTGGTTTGAATTATGATCTGCTTATGATTTTTTTGAAAAAAATCTAATTAAAATTATATGGTTTCAGAAAAACTGAGTTGGAAGGGAAATTGAAAATAATATTTAAATGGCACTATTTAATCTTTGAACCATCATAAAACATATGGAGCTGGAAATTCTTATTCACTGTATTGTTCAGGAATTTTTCTCACCATTTCATAGATTACCTTGTAAATGTACTTATAACTTTTTTATTTATAAATATTTATAATTTTATTTGTGAATATTGAATTGCATGTGGGGGGTGGAGATAGTTCAATCTGTGTACTTGTGTGCTTTTTCCTAGTCAACAGAGTTGAAGTCCTGCTCCACCATAGCAAAAGAACAGTGTGTCATTAAACATCTTCTGGAGAAAAGATTATGTCACTGTTGTACAATTGCAGTTGAATTTGATGACTCTGCATCTTATAATACTTAACTTACTCTCTGAGAATGAGAGAATTTGGAAAAGCTTCAAGCAATCTTCTGGTATTTTCAGGAACTCTTTAATGAGTTCTCTGTGTCCTACATTCAGACATTTAAGCAACTGTGTTGAAAATTATATGTACTGTTTGCTCCCCAAATGCATTATTTATCTCCATGTACTTTGAACATTTTAGGTATATTTGTATATTACTGAGCTGTCTATTTTTATGTATGCATATTTGAACTTCAAGTGCACATCCAACCACTAATAGATGGCAATATACTTTAACCATTATGGAAAAGGTCTTTATCTTCCAAACACCCAATTTCATGATGTCTACAGAGCAGCAGTGTGAATATTTGTGTGTGTTGGCAAACCGGAAATTGATTTAATTTCTTATTTATTCAACTACTAGTATTATGTATCTTCAATATTTCAGCCACTGGGGATATGAAGTTGAATAAAACATGGTTTCTGACACCTTTACCATCACAATAAAACTCAATTAAGTGGTCAAATTAAATACACAAAATAAATAGAAATAGCGGAGGAGTGGCAAGAGATGTAATTCCTTCCTCTTGGCACTCCAGCCACTTAGACTTTCTTCTAATCCTTACACTTGTGAAATGAGTTTCCCCTCCCACCTCAGGAGAGTTGGTTTATATTGTTTTAATAGAATTTTATTGTCTTATCTCTCCTCCTGGGTAATGGCCCCTCATTCTTCAGAATTTAACTAAAGCTTCGTTTTATTTTTATTTTTATTTTTTTATATTTTATTGATTTCTTACAGAGAGGAATAGAGAGTTGGAAACATCGATGAGAGAGAAACATCAATCAGCTGCCTCCTGCACACATCCCCACTGGGGATGTGCCCGCAACCAAGGTACATACCCTTGACCAGAATTGGACCTGGGACCTTTCAGTCCACAGACCTAAGTTCTATCCACTGAGCCAAACTGGTTTCAGCAAGCTTCATTTTTTAAAAGGAAAATTTTTTTAAATTTTGTGATTATGTCGAATTCACCTATTATAGGCTCTCAAAATAACTTAAAGCTCTTTATAACAATTGCTAATGAATTAATTAGCAATTGTTATAAAGAGCTTTATAGATTATACATTTTTCATGTGCTCCTCACCAATCTAGGCAACTATAATATATTCATATACAAGTAAGACATAAATCTCTGCCTCCATAATGTTTGTTGTATTCTCGTGGAAAGAGTTCATAAGCAAGTAAAGTAAGAGATACAAACATCACATGGTAACATATGCTATTACTAGAGGCCCAGTGCACAAATTTCGTGCACTGGAGAGCAGGGTCCCTCAGCCTGGTTTGCACCCTCTCGCAGTCTGAGACCCCTCACTCATTACTGACTGCTCACTCGATGTACTAATTTGCACTTGGGGGAAGGCCCCTCAGCCTGGCCTGCCCCCTCTCACAGTCCAGGAGCCCTCAGGGAATGTCCTACTGATGACTTGGGCCCACTCCCCCGTGTGGAGCAGGCTTTAGGCACAGTCTGGCCTCCCTCTGTGAGAGGCAACCAGGCCAATCAGGGAAAGGCACTGCCTCCATCACCCCGCTGCTGCCACTGCCAGTTGCTGTAGCTGCCTGCCCTTGGCCCTTGCAGCTGCTTTGGCTTTGTCTGGAAGGATGTCCAGTCTATCCAGTCTAATTAGCATATTACCCTTTTATAAATAAGGAGGAAAAAGAAGATTAGGAATACTAATGGGGTGAGAGGATGATGAAGACAATTGAAATTTTAAATGGGTAGTTTAGGGAAAGCCTAACTGAGAAGGTAACATTTGAAATAAGACCCCAAGAAGACAAGGAAGTAAGTAAGCCATATGGACATCTTGGAAACAGACTACTAGTCAAAGGGACTAGCAAGTACAAGGACCTTGAAACAAGAGAGAGCCCTGAATTTTTAAGGACCAGCATGAAGCCATTATGTCTGCAGTGCAACTGGTAACAGAGAATAGTAGGAAACGTAAGAGAGACAAGATTGTGTAGTGTCATGTCAAAGACTTTGACTTTACTCAAAGTGAGAAAGAAATTCTTTGTAGGGTTCAATCAGAGGGAGATGTGAACCAATATATATTACAAAAAGACTGTTTTGGCTACTATGTGGAGAATAGACGACAGAAAGTCAAGAGTGGAGGAAGGGGGACCAGTTTGGGGAGGCCATTGCCATGATCCAAGTGAAAAAAGATGGTGAAACCAGAATGGTATCAGTGAAGGTTGCAAGAAGAGGTTAAATTCAGCATGTAGTTTAAAACGAAGGAAATGGACTTTGTAGACAGGTAGAAATCTCGTGTTTTTAATGTGAATAAGTGGAAAGTGAAATTGCCAAATAATGAGATGGGCAAAACTGAATTTTGGTTTTGAGCATACTAAATTTAAGCTGCTTCTCAGACCTTTAAGTAAACATGACAAGCATACAATTAGATATATGGGCTTGGAATTCAAGGTAGATTTTTAAGCCGGGGATATAGATGATATTTAAAAATAATGAACCTGGATGAGATTATCAAAAGAGTGAGTGTGGATAGATAGGGAGAAAAAAGGCAAGGACAGATTTGGGAGTCACCTATAACAGTTGTACTTTCTCCTTCATTCTAAACGTTATTTGATTAATGTCCACCTCCCACACTGACCACAACAGAGAAAAAATGAAAACTCAGGAAAATTCTGCAGGTAAATTCTTCTATTTTCCTTTCTTCCCAGTGACCTATAATCTTTTGGCCTTTAGTTATCCCAGTCCTTACCCTTCAAACACAGGTGACTATTCATCCCTCTCAATTTATCCCATCTCAATTGCACACAAAAACTTACACTTATTTATGTTTATTCAACAATATTCTA